ATTTAATTTCATAGATCATTGTATTATACTAATTTGTCATTATAAATTAAATGAGGTAAATGGTATAATAATGGTTTACAAAGTTTAACTATGAGCCGCGTACAATAATTTTTTTTTCATATAATTAATACCTAATAAAAAAATCTCAACTATATTAATGTCCATGAATTTTAGCCAAGTATTTATGGGAATTTAATCATAAATATTCGAATAAAAAAAAAATCCGGGGGGAGGATATAGAATATGCAATTTGGGCTTATTATATCTATATCAACCCCATGATTACGCCACTTCAAAAGTCATGAAACACAACACGAGCACAATATGATAACGTTTTACTGTTCTTTATAGATATTGATCCACAGTCCGGCCGAATGGCCTGACAAGTCACATCCGACATTGTTAGCTAATATCAATATGATCTCGACTATTTCAATCCAACCGTTTGTGCTCACCACCGCCGAAGATTTAATACCATGGGATCCTAAAATAAGACACTGTTACTTTCAAAACGAGAGAAAACTAAAATTTTTCAAAGTTTACACTAAAAATAATTGCATCTTGGAGTGTCGCAGCTTTAATATATTGGCGGAGTGTGGTTGTGTGCCTTTTTACTACTTAAGTACGGATTGATTTGAAGACACGTATAAAAAACTACTTTTCATCCATAACTTTAGTTGGTTTCGATATAATTTACAGGAATGAACAATACGCCAGTTTGTGGACCTGCTAAAACAGCATGTTGGGTTACTGCATCGCGTAAGTTATTAAACGGTTTATACGGTTAAACGGTTATAGTTTAAGAGACTACGTTGAAGGTACGCTCTTTCAAACAATTTGTTAGTTTTTTAAGTTATTATTTCGTCATCATAACAAAACATTGACTTAGTTTAACTAAAAACCCTAGCAATGCTATAAAATTGAAAATATTAAGTTTTATTCTATTTTTTGTTGATTACTTTATAAATACGTTTAGATGTATTTTAGTTGCTAATTTTTTCTCAATAAAAAAAAAAATTATTTTAAAGGCGAATTTATGATGACACCCGACTCTTTATCATATTATTCTATCAAAACAAATTATAAATATTATTATTATTATTTTTTTTTTATTTAAGAGACTTCGTCAGATGCATGTGATTGCTTACCGGGCTGTTCTGAATTTTTTTTCAAAACATCGTCAATGAATGCGCAGCTCACTGAATCTGATAAAAAAGAAAATACAAATGACCTGTAAGAATTTAATGACAAAATTATGCATGTATTGTGCGAAGCACAATATTTATATATCAAAGTAAATAATTGYACCTACCAGCTACCTATATCAAAGGAATAATTTACAATTTAATGAAACTTTTTTTACGAAGAAACTAGTTTTATAAACAATTGCCTTGATATTGAAAATAACGGGCTAATTAAAAAAATCAGGAAATAGTTTTTCGCTGTTTCTGAACATTTGGATGGCGTGAAATTGTTAAGTTAAGTTAATAGTTGGTTCAAGATCCTAAGCATAGGTTGAGATTCACTTCCCGCAAAGCGTGTGCACGACAACTTGAACTTTTTTAATAAAAAACATTATTAAACGATTAAAATTAACTCTAAAAATATAAAAAAGAGGAATACA